TAAAAATGTATACATGGCTGGCGCAGTGGCTCATGCTTGTAATCCTAGCACTTTGTGAGGCCAAGGTAGGAGAATTGCTTGAGCCCAGGAGCTCGAGACCAAGCTGCGCAACATAACAAGACCCTATCTCCACAAAAAAAATGAAAAATAAGCCTGGGTGCAGTGGCTCATGCCTGTAATCCCAGCACTTTGGGAGGCCGAGGTAGGCAGGTCACAAGGTCAGGAGTTCAAGACCAGCCTAGCCAACATAGTGAAACCCCATCTCTACTAAAAATACAAAAATTAGCTGGGTGTGGTGGCACACACTTGTAGTCTCAGCTACTTGGGAGGCTGAGGCAGGAGAATCACTTGAACCTGGGAGGCAGAGGTTGTGGTGAGCTGAGATCACGCTACTGCACTCCAGCCTGGGCAACAGAACGAGACTCCGTCTCAAAAAAAAAAAAAAAAGCGTACATTTATAAAATTTTGTCACAATTCAGGTAGGTTATAGACACCAAAATCTAAGAACCCCTGCTGTGGGGCCTCTGTCTGTAATGCAATTTGAGTCTGATCCAGAAAGATCATTTAGTATGAAAAGTCTGGCCTGGTAGGGTGGCTCACACCTGTAATCATAGCACTTTGTGAGGCAAAGGTGGGAGGACTGCTTAAGCCCAGAATTTCAAGACCAGCCCGAGACCCCATCTTTACAAAAAAAATTTTTTTGAGCTAGCCAGGCATGGTGACGCATGCCTGTGGTCCCTGCTACTCAGGAGACTGAGGTGGGAAGGTTGCTGAAGCCCAGGAGGTGGAGGCTGCAGTGAGCCATCATCACACTCCAGCCTGGATGACAGAGCGAGACCCTGTCTCAAAAAACCTCTTTTATTTACATGGTCTGTAGTTTTTATTTGTATAATATACCCCTTCCACCTTTTTCTCAGAGAATTTGAGGCAGACAGTATCCTATTATTTTGGTACTTTCCCCTAAGCAAATCTCTCATACTAGAATTGTAAGCCAGACAGAACAGAATTTTGTACTGGATTCCTGTTGAGATACACCAGCACAGCACTTCTTTTTTTGAGACAGAGTCTCCCTCTGTCGCCCAGGCTGAGGTGCAGTGGTCCAATCTCGGCTCACTGCAATCTGTCTCCCGGGTTCAAGCAATTCTTCTGCCTCAGCCTCCCAAGTAGCTGGGATTAGAGGTGCCTGCCACCATGCCTGGCTAGTTTTTGTATATTTAGTAGAGACAGGGTTTCACCATGTTGACCAGGCTGGTCTCGAACTCCTGACCTCAGATGATCCACCCGCCTCAGCCTCCCAAAGTGTTGGGATTACAGGCATGAGCCACCGTGCACTGCCATAGCACCACTTGTAATAAATATTTCATTCTATATTGAATGCCCTCTTTGTTCCTATGTCATATACATGAAGTAGAGCTGGAGGACCGTAGCTTGTTTAAAATTACGCAAATTGGGCTGGGTGCGATGGCTCAGGCCTGTAATCCCAGCCCTTTGGGAGGCGGAGGCAGGCGGATCACCTGAGGTCAGGAGTTTGAGACCAGCCTAGCCAACGTGGCGAAACCCCATCTCTACCGAAATACAAAAATCAGCTGGGCGTGGTGGTGCATGCCTGTAATCCCAGCTACAGAGCAAGACTCCTTTAAAAAAATAAATAAATAAAAGTTTTAACAGTGACAATAGTACAGTTGTGTATCCTCTAGGAACTGTATTCCAGAGGTCACCCAGAGCAGTAACCTAAAATACTTATTTATTCTTTGCCCCTTAGGATGGTGAAGAAGACGAAGTAAGTGCTGGAGAAAAGGAGCAAGACAGTGATGAGAGTTATGATGACTCTGATTAGACCCCAGACAGATTGTTGCCCGCTTCTGTGTCTCTGCCAGCCACTGATCATTTTGTGTTTAGAGTTTGAAATCCGCTGTTTACCTTTCTTACTGGAAGGATCCTTTTTTTGTTCCTCTATTTTTTTTTTTTTTTTCTAAGATGCAGTCTCACTGTGTCGCCCAGGCTGGAGTGCAGTGGCATAATCTCGGCTCACTGCAACCTCCACCTCCTAGGTTCAAACGATTATCATGCCTCAGCCTCCTGAGTAACTGGGACTACAGGAACACGCCACCGTGCCTGGCTAATTTTTGTATTTTTAGTAGACACAGGGTTTCACCATGTTGGCCAGATGGTCTCAATTTCCTGAACTCATGATCCACCTTCCTCGGCCTCCCAAAGTGCTGGGATTACAGGCATGAGGCACCACACCCAGCCATCTTTTGTTCTTAAAGTGGGGGCTTTATTAACTTGTAGACATCATGGATTGTCTAACATCATCACAGTCCCTGGCTCAGGATTCTAATGTAGCATTATTTATTGGTTTGGATAAACCTAGCTGTGCTACACTGCAGAGTAAAATCTCTGAGTCATGATTCTGGACTTTGGGAGCTAGTTTTGAAACTCTGATTTATTCTAGAACTTAGGCTTGTACCAATTTTACAAATAAATTCTGTTCTAAGTTCTGCTTCAGCTGCCTCATTTATCTTTCTGGATTTGCTTCATTATTGAAGGATTAGGTGGAATTGAATTGAGATTTGTGCAGAGAAATTATGGAGACTGGTGCTAACATAGTTCTGCCGATTAAAATCATGTCTCCTGGCCGGGTGCAGTGGCTCATGCCTGTAATCCCAGCACTTTGGGAGGCCAAGGCAGGCGGATCACGAGGTCAGGAGACCGAGACCATCCTGGCTAACACAGTGAAACCCCGTCTCTACTAAAAATACAAAAAATTAGTCGGGTGCGGTGGCGGGCGCCTGTAGTCCCAGCTACTCGGGAGGCTGAGGCAGGAGAATAGCATGAACCCGGGAGGCGAAGCTTGCAGTGAGCCGAGATCGCACCACTGCACTCCAGCCTGGGAGACAGAGCGAGACTCCATCTCAAAAAAAAAAAAAAAAAAATGTCTCCTATTGTAAGAACCAATTTCATTTGAAATGAGATATATCTGGTCTTTCTGGAGGATTGACTTGATGATCTTCCTTCCTTTTTTTTTTTTTTTTTTTTTGAAACGGAATCTCACTCTGTCACCCAGGCTGGAGTGTAGTGGCACGATCTCAGCTCACTGCAACCTCCGCCTCCCAGGTTCAAGCGATTCTTCTGTCTCAGCCTCCTGCATAGCTGGGACTGCAGGTGCGCACCACCACGCCTGGTTAATCTTTGTATTTTTTTAGTAGAGACAGGGTTTCACCATATTGGCCAGGCTGGTCTTGAACTCCTGACCTCATGATCCACCCGCCTCGGCCTCCCAAAGTGGTGTGATTATAGGCGTGAGTCACCATGCCTGGTCAACTTAAACTTCTTGTCAATGCCCAAAGAAAGTTCAAAGGAATGTTTTGGCTGCTTTTTAAATTTTTTTGATTGGTGTGATAGTATAAGACCAAAATAAAGGCCGGGCGCATGGCTCACACCTGTAATCCTAGCACTTTGGGAGGCTGAGGACGGTGGATCACGAGGTCAGGAGATCGAGACCATCCTGGCTAACACAGTGAAACCCCGTCTCTACTAAAAAATCCAAAAAATTAGCCGGGCATGGTGGCAGGCACCTTTAGTCCCAGCTACTCAGAAGGCTGAGGCAGGAGAATCGCTTGAACCTAGGAGGTGGAGCTTGCAGTGAGCCGACATCGTGCCACTGCACTCCAGCCTGGGCGACACAGCAAGACTCTGTCTCAAAAAAAAAAAGACCAAAATAAAATAAAAAAGCAGCATCAAACTCGTGTTAACTTTGTATATATAATGTTTATTTCCATATTCTGAGTTATACCTAACGTAGTTATAAGAATGCTACAAAGGCCAGGTATGGTGGTTCATGCCTGTAATCCCAACACTTTTGGAGGCTGAGGCCAGGGGATTGCTTGAGCCCAGGAGTTTGAGACCAGCTTGGGCAACGTGGCGAAACTCCATCTCTACTAAAAAAAAAAAAAATACAAAAATTAGTGGCCGGACGCGGTGACTCATGCCTGTAATCCCAGCACTTTGGGAGGCCAAAGCGGGCAGATCACCTGAGGTCAGGAGTTCAAGACCAGCCTGACCAGCCTGGAGAAACCCTGTCTCTACTAAAAATACAAAAGTAGCTGGGCATGATGGCACATGCCTGTAATCCCAGCTACTAGGAAGGCTGAGGCAAGAGAATCGCTTGAACCTGGGAGGCAGAGGTTGCGGTGAGCCGAGATCGTGCCATTGCACTCCAGCCTGGGCAATAAGAGCAAAGCTCCATCTCAAAAAAAAAAAAAAAAAAAAAATACAAAAATTAGCCAGATATGGTGGCCTGCACCTATAGTCCCAGCTACTCAGGAGGCTGAGGCGGGAGGATCCCTTGAGCCTGGGAGTTTGAGGCTGCAGTGAGCCAAGACCATGCTATTGTAGTCCAGCTGGGATGACAGAGAAAAACAAAAAAATGCTACAAAATTACTTGTAGTTTATTAGAAATAGAACATTAGGAGTACATTTCAGCTAAAATGGAGAGTCATGAGTTCCATGTAGCCTACTAGAAAGCCTAGCTTCGTTCGGTGCTACCAAGATCTTTCTTGCCAGGCTGTAAGTATTGTTTAGTATCATTATATTTCTACCCACTTTTGTACACTCCCGTGGTATTAGGGTGTGGTTAGTTAGGGTTTTTTTCTTATTTTCATTGTTTTGGTTGGGGGAGGTTTTAAACTAATCGTTGACCTATATATAGATTTTTGACATCCCCTGGTACATAGAAATACATATCTTTCTCCTCTACACCCCTTTTTCCCCCAGTTCATTGTGATCTTAGGTGTTTATGTGAGTTCACACTAGGCTCATTGGTTTTATATCATTTGTTTAATGGTTATCACATGTACATGTCAATGCTAGTTTGACTCTAAATGGTTCAACCTTACAATGGGAATGTTCTTCCTTGTTCTCTATCATTGGTCCTTTTTTGGAGGGGAAGGGATGAAAGGGGCTCCTGAATCATCACTGCTTGAAACAAAAGCAAGATGGCTGGGGCAGTGACACAGTTTCATTTACATGGACAGGTTTCTATAAGCTTCAGTTACATACCAAAGGGCATGGTGTGAAGAAATGGGGATCAAATGAGGTCCCTTTACTTGGAGTGCTGCAGGGCAAAGGTGCACTTTTTGTAAGTTGCATACAGCAAGAGGATAGAGCGCAGCATCTGTTTGCACATAGTCACTGTCATCTGAATCTGAGGCTCCTTCAGTCCAATGGGCCACTGGTGCTCCCTGCTAATGATTTTGCAAAAGGCTGACTTGTCTGAAACTCTGAAAGTCCCGGTCCATTTTGGTGGCTGAGCTGTGATAACCCTGCCAAAGACAGAATCTACTCCACTGAGGCGGATGGGCTGGGGCTTCCTGACCAGTCCTTTGTTGTTCATTGTTCGCAATTCTGATGTGTGACAGGGTAACTTGGGACTCACTCCAGATTCCAGGAATGGGCTGTCTAGGACTAGAGTGACCTCTTGAAAGCACAGCTGCACTTCAAGGTCAGATGGTGTGTGTGGGAAGCAGGGAGAGGCCCTGAAGGGGTGCTTGGAGGAAGGTATAGGTGTCGTGTGCCGCAGCCATTGGAAACTCTCATCCAGTGGGGTCCATGGTGACCAGAGCTGGTATCCTGCCATTGACAGTCCTAAAGGAGGGAAATCAGAGCATGGAATTTCCCTGACATGCTTTTCATGATGGTATGGACTTTCAAATTCCCATCTCTGTCTCACTGTTGACATAAACTTATTCTATAGTTCCCATGAATAGATTCCAACAGGTGTTAGGATATTAGTAATTCTTTTTTTTTTTTTTTTTTTTTGAGACAGAGTCTCGCTCTGTCACCCAGGCTGGAGTGCAGTGGCCAGATCTCAGCTCACTGCAAGCTTCGCCTCCTGGGTTCACGCCATTCTCCTGCCTCAGCCTCCTGAGTAGCTGGGACTACAGGCGCCCGCCACCTCGCCCGGCTAGTTTTTTTGTATTTTTTAGTAGAGACGGGGTTTCACCGTGTTAGCCAGGATGGTCTCGATCTCCTGACCTCGTGATCCGCCCGTCTCGGCTTCCCAAAGTGCTGGGATTACAGGCTTGAGCCACCACGCCCGGCCAGTAATTCTTTCTTTTTTTTTTTTTCGTTTTTGAGACAGTCTCGCTCTGTCACTCAGGCTGGAGTGCAGTGGAGCAATTTTGGCTCACTGTATTTTTAGTAGTGACAGAGTTTTGCCATGTTGGCCAGGCTGGTCTCCAACTCCTGACAGGTGATCCACCTGCCTCGGCCTCCCAAAGTGCTGGGATTACAGGCGTGACTCACTGCGCCCAGCGTGGGTATTAGTAATTCTAATAAAGGGAAGTAGGGAATGATTACAAATATTGATCTGGCAACTGCTATGTGTACTAAAACTTTATATTACACTTTTTCACAAGCCTTTGGAAGTAGGTCTTAACCCATTTTATAGATGAGGAAATGATTTGTCTGAAATGAAATGAATATAGGTCCACTGTTAGGACCTATGCTATGTTGTTAGCTGCTAATGACAGAATCTATATGTTCTGAGGTGACAGAAGCTGCTGAGAATTCATGATGAGACCTTATTACTTGAGATTAGAAGAAGCTCCGAAAAGTCGTATCTTAAAAATATTTATGGCTGGGCCGGGCGCGGTGGCTCAAGCCTGTAATCCCAGCACTTTGGGAGGCCGAGACGGGCGGATCACGAGGTCAGGAGATCGAGACCATCCTGGCTAACACAGTGAAACCCCGTCTCTACTAAAAAATACAAAAAAACTAGCCGGGCGAGGTGGCGGGCGCCTGTAGTCCCAGCTACTCGGGAGGCTGAGGCAGGAGAATGGCGTAAATCCGGGAGGCAGAGCTTGCAGTGAGCCGAGATCTGGCCACTGCACTCCAGCCTGGGCGACAGAGCGAGACTCTGCCTCAAAAAAAAAAAAAAAAAAAAAAATATATATATATATATATATTTATGGCTGGACACAGTGGCTCATGCCTACAATCCCAGCACTTTGGAAGGCTAAGGCGGGCGGATCACTTGAGATCAGAGTTCCAGACTAGCCTGGCCAACATGGTGAAACCTTGTCTCTACTAAAAACACAAAAATTAGCCGGGCGTGGTGGCGTACGCCTGTAGTCCCAGCTACGTGGGGAGACTGAGGCGTGAAAATCGCTTTAACCCAGGAGGCAGAGGTTGCAGTGAGTCAAGATTGCACCACTGCACTCCAGCCTGGGCGAAAGAGCAAGACTCTGTCTCCAAAAAAAAAAAAAAAAAAAAATTGTGCGGTTCGCAATGTATGAACTCACAAGTATGAACTTCAACATCATTTGGAAACTTGTAGATGTGCACATTTTTGGGCCCCACCTCAGACCAACAGAAACAAACTCCAAGTGGGGCCCAGCAATCTGCATTTATACAAGCCCTCTTGCATTGTCTATTTTGAGAATTTTTTATGCTATTCCTTTCAAACAACCCTAACTTTCACTATTCATTACTGAGATCATCTCCTGGCCCCAAAGGCCACTGTATTTTCTCTGCACACGGGAGCAACTTGCAGACCCCTGGGTTATTTATATACCACCTCAGAGGAGCTGGTAGGAGACTGGGAGGAGAAACATTTCCAAAGTCCAGTCAAAAAATTGTTAAAGATTTTTGTTTTTCTAGGTGTGGGTGTGTTTTTAAATTTGTTTTTCTGTTTTGTTTGTTTTCCATCTGTGGAAGACCTACTGGTTCCATAAGACCTTAATTTTCTTTTTCCTTTGAAGATTAAAAAGGGCTGTGAGGATATTGCTAACTCAAAATTTATGCAAGTAAAATTAGAATTTTCTATCATTCTCCTTCAACATTGCCAGTATACAAGAAGGTTTACTGAATTCAGAAGCTAATTCTTTTTTTAGCGTGTACCTATTTTGTTATTGGGCATAGTGGGTCCCTTTTCTTTCTAGCCAAGTGTATTTTCTCTGCCCCTTCTTCTCCCACAGAAGATAGCAGCAGATCCCATCCTATCCAGTAATTGCCCCAGAAATACTGTGAAAATTTTGACATCTTCACCACCGTTTGTGAGATAGAAAAGTTGATTTAAAAAAAAAAGAACTGTTGGCCAGGCACAGTGGCTCACACCTGTAATCCCAGCACTTTGGGAGGCCAAGGCGGGTGGATCACTTGAGGTCAGGAGTTCAAGACCAGCCTGGCCAACAGGGTGAAACCCCGTCTGTACTAAAAATACAAAAATTAGCCAGGCGTGGTGGTGGGCGCCTGTAATCCTGGGTACTCATGAGACTGAGGCAGGAGAATCACTTGAACGGAGGTTCCAGTGAGCTGGGATCAAGCCATTGAACTCCAGCTTGGGTGACAGAGGGAGACTCCATCTCAAAAAAAAAAGGGTTGGTGACATTTCAGACCAGAAGACTTGCCCCTGATAATGGTTAGTATGGGGGATTTGTTGATTTTCTGCAACTAGTATGTTTCTCATGATCTATGTAGGCTCTTTGCAAAGTACTAAATGTTCAAATATCTGGGCTGCCTTAGAATGAGAAAGGGACACCCAAGGGACAGTTATCTATTCCAAACACCCTGTGAAAGGCTTCTGGTGCTTGATATCTTGACCTTCAGAGCACATATCCAAGAGAGGGACTACCATGGTACACCTCCATGGCAAGGTGGGCAGAGAGTATAAATGCTGCCAAGAATATTTTGAATCCCATAATATGGGATTTTTAAAAGTATTTAATCCCAGGATCCTTTTCTTTTTCTTTTTCTTTTTTTTTGACATGGAGTCTGGCTCTGTTGCCCAGGCTGGAGTGCAGTGGCGCAATCTTGGCTCACTGCAAGCTCCGCTTCCCAGGTTCACGCCATTCTCCTGCCTCAGCCTCCCTAGTAGCTGGGACTACAGGCACCCGCCACCACGCCCGGCTAATTTTTTTGTGTTTTTAGTAGAGACAGGGTCTCACCGTATTAGTCAGAATGGTCTCAGTCTCCTGACCTCGTGATCCACCCGCCTCAGCCTCCCAAAGTGCTGGGATTACAGGCGTGAGCCACCGGACTCTGCCCCCAGGATCCTTTTTTTGCCACATCTTCTAAGAGGAAATAGAGGTAGAAGTAAAAGGCTTTGTCAAATGTCCAGCCTAAGTCAGGGCGCGGTGGCTCAGGCCTGCAATCACAGCACTTTCGGAGGCCAAGGTGGGCCAATCACTTGAGGTCAGGAGTCAGCCTAAATATTCGGCAGAACCAACATGGGATGAGAGGGCTTCTAAACCTAGGTCCCCGCACCACTTCACGCAAAGTTTAAAGATGGTTCATCCCATCCCCACCGCCCAGAAGTCAGTGTCAACCACTCCAGAAGGGCTTGAACCTACGAAGTCTTCTCAGGCTGCTCAGTAGCTCCCAGATAGGGAACACCTGGTTCTCCTGGTCAAAAAGGTTTCCCCTTCACACCCCACTTCCCGTTCCAAGGATTTCCCCACCTGGGAAACAGGGCATTAGCGCCAAAATGCAGCTGAGGTCGTGAACTGTAAACAGAGATGCGAAGGGTCTGGAGCTGCCGAGAGTGGAGAGGTTCCCACTCCAAGCCGGAAGAAAGGGCTTGGGCCTCCTGGGTCTCTATCTGGGGACGGGGACCAGAAGGTTCTGGCTGAGGAGGATGATGCGGTGGGAACCTGGGCCCAGTCCCACCATCCGGGCCCAGGGCTCACCTGCTGAACCCTGAGGGTCGCACGCGTCAAAGCGGCGGCCGCTGTTCGTGGCGCCTGGCAACCACCTTTGTGACCCAGGACTGCAGGGCAGCCCGAGCCGCGGCGGGGGGCCGCACTCCCCGCCCCCACCTCATTGGAATGCCTTGTCCAAGACTCGGCCTTCAGGAGGGCTGGTTCGAATCCTGTCCCCTCCATGGTCTTCCTCCCTACCATGCCACACCTGTGTACCTTTGATCAAGTCACAGAGGACAGGCGACCCCTACTTCAATGGCCGTGGTCAGGGGCCTGCATAAAAGTCCCAGGACCTGTAGTTAGTGTTAAAAGTTAGCCCCAACTCATCACACTGTGCTCAGTGAGTGCTCAGGCTTGCTCAGTGTTGCTCTATTTGAATGATCCCAGTGCAAAGAAATAGAATAAATGTTCACCTGTCAAGAGAAGGAGGAAACGCACGTCCTTACTTGATTTCCTGACAGAAAACCTTTCTCAGCCTTCTGTTAAACCTGGGAGTACCTGTAATCCCAGCTATCTGAGTGGCTGAGATGGTAGACTGCCTGAGCCCAGGAGTTCAAGACCAGTCTGGGCAACATAGTGAGATGCCCTGCTCAAAAAGAAAACAAAAAAAACTCAAGAATAATTTTGTCTCATTCTTATAATGCAGAGATACACTTTTGCCATATTAGTGAAGGAGTGATTTGACAACTTTGTAATCATCACTTAAAATAATGACCCTGGATGGCTGAGGGAAGGGAGTCATCTACCCAGCTGATGTCTGTATTCCCAGTACCTGGTTATTGCCATGCCTGGCAGTGTGCAGTATTTGTGGGGGGAAGTAACTAATGGCCTACTTGGCCTTCCCTTGTACACCCAGAATCGCCCTTGCATTTTACACACTATAGAACACACACCACAAATAAGACTTGTCACCTTTGGTCTAGTTCTTTGGGTAAAGCTGA